AGCAAAGCGTTACAACTATAATGACTAGAGCCACATAACAACTGGTGACAGCGGTGCTTGTTGCGAACATTATATCATCACAACAAGACGAACTCATATTAGTGGCTATTACAAGTAGGTGAAAATTTATTCAAAAAAAACATATTCAACACTGAAAATTTATTCGAAAAACATATTCAACACTTATTAGACGGTATTGTCGATTTTAGTGGCAGAAATGAAGATGTTCGAACATGGATACAACGTATTGAATTATTATTTGATTTAGCTGATTATACGAAATTCAAATGGATAAAATTGACAGCATTACATTTAACAGATCATGCATTATGTTGGTACAATGCCATTTGCCAAATGTTAATAAAACAATATTCAGCAAATCACCAGCTACAACAACAAGTCAAACGGTTCAAGTGGACGATAATAATCTAACCATACCACGACAAAATGACTTACTAGTGACTGAAATACCAACTATACGACAAAACCACTCATCAACCAATCTTTTGAATAAAGCATTAGCGTTCACAGATCCTCTAAATAAACCCTCATCATCAACAAAGTTTTCAAATTCATCATCCACGAAAGATTTTTTTACCACAATGGTTGAACAGAAGGTGAAACAATTGCCGACGTTTAGTGCTAAAGATAGTGAATAGGTTCAGGATTGGCTAGAAAACATTAAACAAATTGGTAAAATGGTTAATTGGACTGCTGAACAGTTATCTTACATAGCAACCTTAAAACTGGAAGGCGACGCTCAAAAGTGGTATTTGAAAAATCAGAATAAAATTTTGGATTAGGATTCCTTTCACCGATTATTATCACAACGGTTTCCGGCACAAATACCAAATCAGAGAGAACAATTACGTCAGTTAATTTCGCGTAAACAAGGATTAAATGAAACGATATCAAAATATTATCGTGATATATTAAACTTATGTGATCAATATGATCCTAACATGTTAGACTCATCAAAAATTGGTTATTTGCAAGACGGTTTACGACCTGAATTACAACACTATACATTGAGTCAACAGATATCAACACCGCAACAGTTCTTTAGCATCATGCAGCAACATGAGACTATTCAAGGAAAATTATCGAATATACAACTTGATGCTTACCGCACAACAGCTTCAGTCCAACAACCACGTAATCAGCAATCCAATTTATCAATGTCTCGAACAAATTTATCACAATCATTCAATAAATCAAACAATTGTCGGTGGAACCAATATCAACAACAGCCAAATAATATTCGTAGTCAACAAAATTGTTATAATTGCGGACAACCTAGCCATTATACCAGAGAATGTTCACACCATTTCCAGTAATCGGGTCACCGACTGATGGTAGTGTCTCCAGAACCAGTAACAATATAAAACCATCATCACCAACATTTATTAAAATTCCGGTATATGGAAAAAGAGTTAAAACTTTAGTGGACACCGGAGCAACCAACTCGATCATCAGTCAATCAATATTATTAACAATTCATCACCCATTAGAAGGAACTCTTATCAATACGAATTAGCCAACAAAACAAATATACATTTTATTGGCGAGGTGGAGTTATTAGTTAAGATCCAACATGTTACAACAAAAATAAACGCATTAGTGGCTGATAAATTATGTACAACTTTCATTTTAGGAAAAGGTTGGATAGAAAAATATATAGTTGACATACTAGAAAGTGATACGAAAATCGTTATTCAAAATCAGCATGGTCTAGTATCAGTACCATTCGATGGCGAGTCTGAACGAATAACCTTTGATGTCAAACTGATTCATCCACTGACATTAGGTCCACAACAGGAGTGCGATGTTAATATAGAAGCTCCATTTTCTACAGCTGATACAGTTATATTCTCTCCAAAACAAGCATTACAACACCAAAAAATGATATTAATGCCTAATGCATTGCTAAAAATTCAGAATTATCAGTCCACAATAACAGTCATTAATCTAAGGAATTATTCAACCTGCATTCCAAAAAATATAAGATTAGGTTGCGTCACCTATGCGCCACCAAGCGTTCAATGTTTTGTATTAACGTCAGGATCATCATCAAATATTCACCTTTCAAGCACTCGGCAAACAAAGAACCAATCATCACCTCATAGTCAACAACTTTGTGAAGTTAAATCAAATCAATCATCTACTTCAACTGAAATTCATAACACTATAAAGGCGTTACTGAATCATTTACCGCAAGCAGAACAAGACGAAGTATACCCAATGTTATTAAAACATCAATCATTATTTGATTTAACAAAACAAAAGATATCAAATACACAGATTCAACATGTCATCCGTACAGGCGATCATTCGCCAATTAGTTCACGTCCCTTTCCAAGAACTCTCAATCAACAACAAGCGTTATCAGAACATATTCAACAAATGGAAAAAGACCATCTCATTAGACGTTCAACCTCACCATGGGCATCTCCAGTAGTGTTAGTAAAAAAACCGGATGGATCAACTAGGTTTTGTGTAGATTATAGAAAAATCAATCATATAACCAAAAAAGATGCTTATCCTTTACCACATATGGGTGAAACAATTAATCGACTGGGTGGTCACAAATACTTCTCGAAATTAGACCTTAAATCTGGCTATTTTCAAATCCCAATTCGTGAAGAGGATAAAGAAAAAACAGCTTTTATCGTTCAAGATGGTCATTGGGAATTCAATCGCTCAAGGACTAAAAAATGCTCCACCCACATTTTAACGCATCATGAATGAATTATTAGTTTACCAAAAATGGGATCATTGTTTAGTCATCGACGTCATTGTTATTTTTTCCAAGTCATTTCAACAACGTTTAGAACAATTGAATGACATTTTAGCAATCTTAAACAAGGCAAATTTTACATTGAACTCTCCTAAATGTTCGTTATTTCAACCCTCTTACATACTTAGTGGAAGATCAAAAATCGCTAATTCAACGACAGGTTCACGTTAGCAGAATGGAGCCTGCATATGAAAGAACAATTTAATCAATGCCACTAATTCATGGAATGATAGGTGATACTAGTCCTGATCATTTTACATGCAGAGATTGGGGACATATTAGTAATTAGAACATTTATTCGCCATAGAACATGTTCATTTTAGATTTGGCGTCAATGGTAACCATATGGTTCTTATTGATCGGTCAGTAACTGGAGGAGAAAAACATTATGTTGGTTCATCAACAACGGTATTGTCTACAAGTTTCGACTATGAAGCTGAAACATACAATCGATTAAATGGATATCGTAAACATGTTGAAGAGAAAAGTGCTTGTTTTGCGAGATTTTCCACTACTCAAATAGACACAACAGAACGAAGAGCACAAGCACCAATTCAACGTACTGAACATTCTCGTATGTCCAAAGCAGTTGCCAAGAAACATGTGATCACAGAAGAAGTACTTTCTCAAGCAGAAGGATTCTTTGAAGCAGAGAATGCTTTTCTCGCTGATGCATGTAAACAAACAGCCGCTGTACATACCAATGACGAAGAAGTAGATGAAGAAAAAGAAGCTTCTGAAACTGTCAGCGAAGAAATGGTTATGTTACGACAACGTGATGAATCTCAAATTATTAGATACATTCCAGAAAGTGAAAAGAAGACTAGACCCAAAATCACATCACAAAATTTGATTCAACGAATCAAAACCACTGGTCGATTCGGTAGCATTGGAACTACCGCACAGAACATGTTTGATCTCTTTGAAATCGAAATTTCATCCTCATCGCTCGAAACTGTTCGTTTTCAGACACTATTTCAAAAGAATCATTTTTATCATCATGTCATGGTATGTTTATGTGAATCTATTTGTTGCTTTATTTAATTTGTGTATTTTAGGACTGCAAATTTTCCCTTGTGTTAATTGCTGCACAACAAGATCGATTGGTCAATGGGAAAAATTTTAATGAAATTGTTACCTTTGCAAAAGACGTTACAATTCGTCGTCGACAAAAATATGCATATGCGAAATTTAGTACCGAAGTACAAAAATTTGTAAATGAATTCGAAGATATCAAATCTGATCCAAATTTGTCTATTGATACTGGAGCAGAGAAAATTTATGGTGTGAAAAAAGTCAATTATGAAACTGATCCAGACAATGTGCAAAAGAAAATTGGTGATTTTTTCCGTGATTTTACAAAATATCGTGTTCAACATGATCTTCTTAAGCTACTCAATGATTTCTATAAACGAGTTGATAAAAAATATGTTATGATGTTTCAATCTTTTAACGAACAAGTTGATTGGACTGACAAGAAATCATTTGAACCTTATTTCAATATGTTACAAGTAACTTTTATTTGTATATAGTTTAATATGTTTACATATTTATTTTTTAGGCTTGGCATAAAGAAGACGAAAACCGAAAGAAAGCCATGGAAACCAATGCAGAACATCATCCACGAGAAATCTTATCACGTCTTCGAGAAAAAACACAATTGGAAAGTCAATTTGAAGAGTTTATGACAACTCTTCGTAAGGAAAAGAAATACTGGGCTGATTTACTTGATGCACTTCATTATCATATCAAGGAAAACAAAGAACTAATGGTACGCTTTGGTGAAGTGCCAGCTTTCAAAGATGAAAAGAGTCTTGGACAAATAGTAACTGGCGTATTCAGCAACAAAGGTACGAACAGTTTTATCGAGCAAAGTCTGTACGTCATTCGCCTCTATTGGCTTTCATTTCATATTCTCACTTACATGCGACATTTATATAACTGCAACGAATTATTCGCTATTGAAATAGGAAAATTTAGCCAAAAAGATGTCTATATAGACGATGGTAATCAACCGACTTTTGATTACTTAATCAATCGTGCTCAGACATACTCGTTCGATGTTGCTAATGAAGCTTGTCAACTTTATATGGAAAAATACGGCATGCATTGTGCATCTGTTCGTTATTTGATGGCGTACAAATATGATATTAATTATCAAAGTTATATAGAATCTGGTTATCATGAACTTAGTAAGAAAGAAAATTTCAATTCAAGTGCAGAAAAAATTCATCTG